GTACAATTATGCCATGTTGCTTGTATTATATTAAAAAAATATAGACTACTGCTCTAATATTTATTGTGCACTTGTTCGGTGAACAAAAAAAAAAAGAAGAAAATCGTATACCACACAAAGAAAGAAGAAACAAAGCAAACAAGGACAATCTATTAAATAGACGAAGTCCAGGCATGTGGTAGCATGGTGGTACGTACACAGAGAAAAAATGTTTATTAGATCACTAATGGTAGTATAAAAATTACTATTTTTTTTTCTTACACAATCGTTTGTTCATCTTCATCTGTATGGGAAGGATATGATAAAGACGGAGAGAGAACAAAAAAAAGCAACTTTTTTAGTAATTATATTTAGCTATTGAGTGTGAAAAACGTTTATTGTTACACTAAATTTAATAGAGACATATATACAATGTCCGTATCAGTTGTCAATTGTTTAGTGTATACTTACGGTTTTAAATCATGACATTTACAGAAGAATAAAAGAATCATGAACAAATTATTTCAATCAAAAATCCATATTGGTTAAACGAGTAAGCCTATAATGAGTTAAATAATGGACAGATTGTTAGTCATGCATTCTAAGGGTCAAGATAATTCCTTTTGAAGTATAAAACATTAATTCAGAATTAATATAATCTAAATTTAGAAAAATTGCGACTTGTGTTTAAAATAAGTAAAAGTTTTTTGAATCATTATCTACTATAAAATATAATACAATCAAAAAGTTATCATTATAACTTCATTATTCATAATGAATTTATCAGTTTTTAGTGCTCATAAATTAGATTTGTTTTTTAAAAAATATTAGTTTTCTTATTGTATTTTCTTTTCAAACAGTCGGTGCTCAAAGTGTAATCATGGAACGCTAAGATGATCAGGGTGCGTAGCAAGGGCTCAAAAGCAGAAAGGGGGGTGACTTAAAATTTTTCTGTTAAATAATGTTGTGTTTCTATTAAAAAATTCGTATAAAATTACTGTTACTAAGCAGGAAAAGAAGATTTATCATATTTTGCTGCGAAAAAAGCAAACATTTTCAAAAGCAGGATGTGGTCGTTTAGGAACAATTGTCGGTTAGTTGTCATTTTCCAGCTTATATTGATTCTATATCCAATTGGATTTCAAAATTCCATTGTAAAAAGAAAAAATATATTCTTATGAGAAACATTTTTTCTCTCTTTCTCTGTGATATCCTTTGGATCAAGTATAAACATAAAATCAACTGCATATATGTAATAATAATCAGAGTAACAAAATATTTATTTATTATGTCAAAACTATGTGAACACAATAAACATGTATACACATGAATGAATGAGTTCATTATTAAATACCTAAGATAATTTATGATTTCATTAGAGAAAGAGAAAGAAGAAGAATAATGTTTTTATTATAATAAATAACAGCACAAGCGAAATTATGTACATCAAAATATTTTCTTGTTATATAGATCAGTGGTATGTACTAGACCATAAACTAATGAGATTTTACTCACCAAAAGAGATTCAATTCTAATCAACTAGTTTTCATTAAATTATTTCTTAATGTTTTGACTATGACATTCGACTATTCTTCCATAAAAGACAAAGTAAAACTTCTCACGTAGATAAAGCTCTTAATGAGTCACATAGAGACAATTAGCTAGAAATTTTGATTGATGTCCATTCAAGTTTTATCCTATACACTATAGTCTGCTTAAAGAGAACACGTAGTTATGTTAGTAACAATTTTATTTGTGTTTTTATAAGTGTCGATAACTAACATGTCTATTTTAAGTATTGTTTATCTTTACATAAGACTATTTACAGGACGTATAACGGCTGTTGTCACATTACTACGAATAAGAATCTCTCTCTATTTTCTGTAGTTATTAGATTTGTTGGATTCTTTTCATCTAATATCTTCTAATTATGACAACGCATCAGAATCTTCTAATGTGCAACTTATAAGAAATTGTCATTGAATTGTAGTAAACTATTACTATATTAGACTATAAAATACAAATTATTTGCATTCGTACACGTACATCTATTATATTATCGAAAAACTTTCAAATTGAATTAGATATATTCTTTTAACTACTGACTTTGATCAATATTTCTCAATATCTTCTAAAATTCTTGATTTTTTCATTTAATTTTTTTTTCTATTTTAGTAATAAACTTAGAGTATTTGAATGCTCACAAAATGGTGTAGAAATTGTTTTTAATTAGATGGATGTATGTATGATGAACAGTATCAAACGAAATTCTGTATATATCTAATATTATTATTTATTGTTAATTTTAAAATCTCTTGTTCAGCATGTACAAATTTGACAATTATTTATTTATCTAATTGTTATTTTAATCCACAAACATATCAAAACGGTGTCAAAAGTCGAATATTAGATATAACTGTTGCACGTGTCATGAATCCAAATGAGGATATTGATAAATATGCCGTTGTTCATTCAACTCCTCCCTATTACGTTCGTATGGCATTAGATATTATTTGTTCATCTATGCCATCACAATTATGGTCATCATTAGAATTATCACCCACATTGAACGGAGAATTTGTTCGAACAGAATTGAATAATATTTTATTTTTTAAAAAACAAACTTATCTATCATCATTATATTTATTATCAGGAACATTTTTTGTCCGAAATTTAACAAAAGTCGATTGTCAAACAAATATTCAATATCGAACAAATACAAATGAAATATTTAAAATCAATATTCAATTGGAATCAAATTATAATGATACATGTAATGCAGCACAAAATTCATGTTATCCAACACAAAACTATTTATGTGATGAGTACACTAAACGATGTACATGTCGACCACCATTACTTTTATATCAGACATGGTGTGTAGATTATATTAATATAACAAATTGTACATATTATTCTCATCGATGTATACGATGGTGTGAAATGAATGATAATGCCGATTGTATTTGTCCTCAACAAGGAACAATAAAAAAACAAATAACTTCAGTCAATAATAGTTGTAAGTAGATAATATTTTATGATTAAACTAATGAAGTATAAATTTATATTTTTTTTTATTCTAGCTCAAATTCAATTTCTTTACTATTGTGAAATATTACCAGACCAACATTGTCAACCTTTTAACACTATTCGACGTTGTCCTTTGAATCAACAATGTATTAATGCCTATTGTACAACAAAATCAACTGTAAAATCCCATCCTACAATTAGTTCCATTGAGTTGATATTAATTGTTTTACTTATTGCAGCCACTCTCACGATTATTGCTCTTGTCATTGTGTTTTATTTATTTAATCAGTATCGTCATAGAAAACAAAAACATTTATCACCATCACTTATTCAATATGCCGTATCTACTAGACGTAAAAATCAAAATTTACAAAATTATCCGCAAAAAATATACTCTTTACCAAATAGTATATCAAGAATTGCTTACAACAAAACAATGGACCACGAGTCTATATACGACAATCACCAAAATATATATGGAGCATTTCGAAACAATGTTCAAGTGACAAGGATAACAGGAGAAACAACACAAAATCAATTATTAAGAAAAAAATCATTTTCAAATATGATCTATGAAGATAACAATCATTCTGACGATCTAAATTATCAACCGTACGCTGTTTTTCTACAAGAAGGTACAACAGCCATATTTGCATGAACGACGAATACTTACACAGCATGTAATCAGAGCTTCCAGCTAGTTTATTAATGCTTAGCTCCGTTTACGTAACAGTCACAAATCGTATATATAACAGGTTTCCCTTTCTATTCTTTTATTTCTAACGTATAATAGTTATGATAAAAATAGAATGCCTATCAACAGTATTTCTGTAAACAAACTCTAGATATATTCTCATTAATTACACATATCTATACTTTTTTCATAAGATTACAGCATCAAGCAAACTAGAGAGCAGACATATTTTAACTAAGGAAGGAAAAATGGTCGCTTACATTAAAAATATGAATTTATTACAGAAAACAATTGTTAATATTCAGATTCTATGTTTTAAAGTAGCATTAAATATGTAAAAATGGCATTCTTGTCTAAACGAAGGACTTTTTTTAGTATTAACGTCTAAATGCTTGTCACGTCACGAGTACTAGTGGTAAAGTTATCTTCTTTTCACACTAGTTGATTCCACTATTTCACCACTACAGTCTATGAAACTTGAAGTATATAGACAAGACAGGCAAAATTTTTATTTGTGGGACAGTTTTCTGCATTACATTCGTTGTTTATGTCGGAGACAGCTGAGCCAAGTGAGGACTTCAACCCTAGTAATGGATCGTAGACCTTCTCTAGACGTCTTTCTAAATCTTGGTATACTCTTAATACTTCGAGGACCGTATCTAAACGCGATAAGGAATATCAAAAACTGAGCTGCTATCATCTACCGGAATTTAAGGTAACCTAAAATAAAGAACTATGTCTTTTTGGTAATTTATACGACGTTTTTGTCTTTTCTTTATCGAATTGTTGAGTACCGATGATTAAATATGAAACGAAAATGTACTGTATTGTTTGCTGTGCGATTCGTCGTGCTCCTTACACATCTTCTATTGCCAGACGTGTGTAATCGGCTAATTCAAGCTCGAGCTAGCCACATTCGAACCATTGTTCGCATTCACCCTAAAATGTCGTCTGAACATGCAATTTTAACAACTCTCTTCCATTGAAGTATATGGAGGTTGTACATTCAGTGAAAGCCTATTCAACAGAAACATTTTTCTCATGTCCTTTCTCTTGATATACTCATCAGAGCGGACAAACGTCGTATTTTATTAGTTGCTTATCTGAAATATGTATCTGATCCTGATGTTTATAGAGCAAAGTAAACAAACACTCAAGGTGAAACTATACGATGGCCGAGGAAAAGACAACGAATAAAGTTCTCAAGATTACAAAGCGCACTTCTGATATAAATAGGAAAGACAGAAAAATGCCTAGTACCAGAAAAGAGGCAATGATACTTTTTACTGAAAGTCGTGCGTATGTTTTTCTGTAATGGATTTTATCATTTTTAATTATTTAAATCAGTAAGTGAATAAAGCTGACAGCAGGCAAAGAGACCAATATACAGTTTCCATATGGTTCATATATATGTAAACAGCTCAAGGAATAAATCTAAAAATTTTAGTTGATTGAAAAGTTACTTCTTTTAAAGCTTCTTAGTATGTTGCGCGTAGCAGTATTCACTTTTGCATTTTGTAGCATCTCACGATAGCTGACAGGCATTAACCACGATGAAAAGCTACACAATACATAATCTTCACTAGATTGAATATGGATTGGATGATTAGCTGATCACATAGTATATTTAACAGAATCGCTCCTATTATGACTTTAGTTACTAAACTGATTATTTACAATGGAAATAAATGCTTGCTAATATTATTGCAAATAAAAAGGGTTTTTTCTCTCTCCGTTTCGTTCACATCGTGTGAATTGATGGACTTACTAAAATAGGAATTCCTTATTCCTGAAAACGATAGTCAGAGTTTGAGATCGTATATACTCGTGAAATTAGTTGAATAGGATGGCTATATTTTCAAAAACTTCGCCATTTTTTTCTTGAACGAGATAATTCTATGCCACTTTACAGTGCTCAGTATAGCACATGTATAGTACTATACGCTGCTGTATGGCAGCACAATGTAGTAATACTCTGTAAGGAGAGGTAAGTCATTCCTAACTATTTATTAATCACATCAGCTACTTGTCATGAAATAGTGAGTCATTTGAACGATGAGATCTTTACATGCTTTACTATGCACTCCGTACGGAGTGCAAATACTATCCATATTTCTGTTCAAAGCTTTCTTTATGTCACAATTCTCTGACGTTCCATTTGGTCGACATCTCAACACAGCATGATAAAAGTCGAATTCAGCTACTTTTTTCTCAATGACGACAAAAATAAAGTTACATTCATGGACGACAATTTTTCTGTGCACGGTTTTTTCTAGAATTATGCACGGTCTGCTGTTTTCCGTGCACTAAACAATCTTTTGACATTTTTGTGCACGGGAAAAGGCAGAAATGCGTATTGAGAGATATTTTTGTGCACAGTTTTTGAAGAACGAAGTTAATCTATACCCTATTGCTTGATTATTAATTATTTCATTTTGAGAATTAAACAATACACGAACTTGAAAACTACATTCTGGATACTTTCTACATGACGAACAACGATGTGTAACTTTAATGCCATCTTTCACATTTTCTGTTCGAAATTTTCATACGTTGTTATGATTTAAATAAACATCTAAATCATCTTTTTGTAAATATTTGTTAACAAAACTCCAAACTTTTCTTAACATGATTTTTGTTTAAAGAAAAAATATTTAGAGTGTATTGAGAACTGTGTAGGTTGAATTAAGTCTTAAAGATATGAACTTCACTCTACACCTTTTTTCCACATCTTTTTTCCGTGCACCTTTCTGTAATCGTGCACAAAAATGTTAAAATATTTTTTAGTACACGGAAAATAGCATACCGTGCATAATTCCGGAAAAAACTGTGCACAAAAAACATTTCTCCCTACATTCATTCTATCGTTTTTTAACTAAGAAATCCTGCTTCTTCCTGTTTTCTCGTTAAAACTCGTATTGTAATTGTGGACGTATACCAAGGTCAGGAAATAATCCTCCGTCATACATGTATAACGAGAATCAAGAAAGAATAATAAATTAACCTTACTGCACTATGAGAATGAGTAAACCTATTTTCCTCTCTCAATTCCACGAGCTTATTCAACTTTGACTAATTATTTCCGAATGTGTAGTCTTAACGTAATCAGTTCACGTTTCCTATTGCCTTTGCTAAACCAAAAAACGAGACAAGTATATGTATTTCAAATGCAGTAGTCAAATGTTATCCGTTAAGGTAAATGCATTTCGTAAAGCCGCTTGTTCAGTCATCCCAAGTTGTAAAAGTTTGCAAAACATCTCATTTTGTTCAGAATTGAATGCTCTATCCGAACGGGTGGTTAGAAAATTTGGGAAAAGACAAAATTCCACTACTTTTGCTGGAGGTGTAAAACGGTTGTGATTTTGCAATTCTGAGTGGAATTTCTAGATTTTACCGACATGAAACATCACTCAGATTGGTAAATTACAAACAGAATTGTTAGGAGAGGCGTTGGACAGGTTAGAAATGCGTGTAGATGCGGTTTTTAGAGCTGTATGTGATCCTAAAATTTTTTTACTCGTGTCCAACCTTCGGAATGCGTCGAGTACAAACACAAATTGTACATCTGTAGCATAAGTATGACTTAACTATCATTCATGTGCACTAATCACCAGCACATATAGATATTAGATAGACTAGAGATGTACATACCATCTGCAAAACTCAAATCAATAAGTAGTAATTTAATGATAGGATACCACCTAGAGAAAAGACACTAAAATTTTTGAAAAAATATGCTTATCTTTTGGAACTCGCCGGATCTTAAACTGTTTATCAGAAAAATTTCAGGTGTTTCATCTATATCATTTAGATAATCGAAACACTTTTTACTTAAATGTCGACCATCAAGTGTTATTGAAAATGAATGGATTACTCACAAGATAAAATACAGTAATAAAAAAAGGAATTTCGTACGAAAACATTATTTGTTTTATTTATACGGTTGAAGAAGTCGGTTAATCACTGATCGTGCGTAAAATCAGCGCTAGGATTTTTCTGCATGAAGCAGATGGAATTTGCGAATCCAAACAAAAAGTAAAATCCTTGTAAGTGTTCTAAATTTCTCTAATTGAAGTTTTACGTAGCCGAGTTTCTGTTCTTTCTTTAGTAAAAGCCTTAAGCACTTTTTACTAAGATCTTGTAAGACCTTATTTTTCAGGATCATGATCAGATGATCCAAGATCTTGTATAAGATTTTGATAATTCTGCTTTCGTTCACGCGATTATTTAGCTCTTAAGCATCTATATGGGTAACAGTAAAACGGACTAAATTTTGTCATTTTTCTCCCAGATATCTTTCGTATTTGCTGTCTCGAAGATACTCAATAACTATTAAAACTGGGGATTTTGAACATTCTATTAATTTGAGGAAGTGTATAACACTCGTTAACGATCCATAATTTGGGATGAGTGTTAACCTATAAGTCGAATTTAATGAAAAAACAAATTAACGTCCAAAAACATTTTGGACATTAATTCAGATAGTGTGGCCATTTTTGTTTAGCATTAGACTTACGAAACGAATTTATCCAAAAATAAAAGAGATTGAGAAGTCACTTAGAAAATGTGCGATATCAACTATTATTCTATTTTTGAATTTAGTAATACTGTAAATTTTGAAAGCAGATGGACTGAGTTAGGTTACGTTTTTTAAAATCGAATTTTTACTCATTTGAACACAAAATATTGAATACAATGCCATAGCATACACAGAACCATTATTGGGATGACTTACATTGGTGTCTTTTTTTCTATCGTTAAAACTAGTGCACTGTTCCAAAAGATCTGAACAATTAGAACTCGATATATTCTTGACGCCTTTCATTTGTCTCCATCAGTTTTATCGCCAACAACGTTCAAAAAAACATAGATTGATAACATCTTTTGCTCTTTACATATCAACAGTCCAAAACTGACATGCTTGGGATCCAAATCTAACTACCGAACTGTGGATTGAATATTTT